CAACATCTGGGCTGCAGAGACGACATTTCACTGAAACATGACCTGGATGGCACCATCTGTTGTTGACAAGCACTGCCACTCCACCTCCTTTTCTTTTCCCGCTCCTCTTCAGATCTCTGTCTGCTCGTACAGTCAGGAATCCTGGCAGAGAGATGCTGGAATCGGGGATATGGTCCTGCAGCCACGTCTCACTGAAACACATAACACTGCACTGCCGATACTCTGGCTGAGTCCTTGAAAGGGCTTGGAGTTCATCCATCTTGTTGGCCAGTGATCTCACATTGCCCATTATGATCGATGGCAGAGATGGTTTGAATTTCCTCTTTCTCTGTCTCCGTTTTGCTCCCGCTCTGGACCCACGCTTCTTGCGTTTTAGCTCATTTGGGATTTGTGGCTTCAGTTGAGGTATTATTTCAGCCTTCCCAATGTTAAGCAGCTGCTCCCGATTGTAAACCAGCTTGTTGCCATGGTTACGCATCATAACAAATGCTCAAAAAGTGAAAAATGAGCAGTAAAAATCCTCCAAGCTTCACAGCATCAGAAACAGAAAAGTAAAATGTCCAAAAGAATACCGTTTTTCTTGAGAAACTAAAGAAAAAATGTCCAAGAAAAGGCAAAACTTACATATAGTCTACAGAGCTACTCCAACATGCAGCCACTCAGAGCAGCGCAGTTCCGAAAAAAAAAAAAAAAAACAGTGTTATACAAAATGGAAGGCCTGTAGCGTTTATTCTCTTACAGTAACAATTTATCACTTTTTTGAGGAACTTATTTGAGATTTTCAGGTCATCAATTGTGCAATAGAAAAATAATAGCTAGATTAATCATCTAAATAGTCATTAGAATAGTTGACTATTCAATAAAATAATCGTCAGAATAATCGTTTTAAAAATAATCGTTTACCCCAGCCCTACTAGAGACGACTGCAAATTTGCTGGAAAAAATTAGTGAACGAGACCTTTAACACATAGAGCTCGCGTGACTCTCAGAGCGTAGGCGCCATGCTGGCAGGCATCAACGTAAACAAAATGAACAGGACCAGCTTGGATTTTACTTCGTAAGAGTTTACTTCACATTTAAAAACGGAAGATGTAGTTTTATGTACTGAAATTAAATAGACTAAACATCTCCAACTCTTACCATGCCCCTGGGATTCTTTTGTCGGGGCGGACCTTTTACTGGATTTGAGATACCCTGACATTGACAATTTCCTCATTAATTTTCCCTCGTCCTACTCCGGAGCATCGCTAAGAGCATAGAAAAGCCAGGAGAGATACAAATGGACTCAGAGTTACGTAAACAACGGCATGCAGAAATCACAAATGATTAGGCGAAGTTTTACGTGATGTTTACTTATTGCTATGAGCAACAAGACAGAAAAAGTCAAACCAAAATAAGTTTAGGAAGCCCACTAAGAATTGTAATAAAAGCATTTAAAATAAATATCCTATACAGTAGGGATGTGAATCTCAGAGCAACTCACTATTTGATTCGATTCCGATTCTCAGGGTGCCGATTCGATTCAGAATCGATTTAAATCGATTCACAATAAATATTAACAAAGAGTGTCAGTTCCAGGATTAACTACTCTGTTGTGCAAGTTAGTTAAAGCTATGGGAAATTTTTTATTTAACTTTAAACTGGTCATGCTAAAAATAAGCTAATTTAAAAGGTAAAATAAAGTGATTCTAAAACTGTAAACAGAAACAATCTTTTGACCAAAAGGCAACATTTATTTTTGCTTACCTTGTAAAATATAAACAAATCTTTAGTTAACAGTAGCTTTGAAAGTAATACAGTCAAATACTTTTCAAGTATCTGTGGAAACAAGTGTACCATTTGAGTCCTCAACCTGTTTAAAAAAATGTACCACAGATTTCTTACAAAGGAAAATGTTTTCTCTCATTTATCAATAACTTCAAATAAACACGAGTAATCATGAGTACTCACTTATCAACTTAGAAAATATATATGAGAATATTTCAAATTTCTGAGTATGGAAAAAAATTACATTCTAGTCCCCACTTATCAGCAGATTCAAAAATAAATCATCCCAATTTATGGGACCACAAAAGTAAACGGAGTACTAACTCTCCTAACAAAGACCACAAAAACACACAAAAGTGCATCTCAAACCTGTAACATGCCAAACATTTGAGTTCCTGGAATCGATTGTGAACCTTTGTGAATCGATTCTGAATCTTTATAAATAAGAAGCCCGATTCAGACTTGAAATGATTTATTTCAGCACCTCTATACAGTTGAGGAAACATTGGTTTAAACCTGATTTGAAGTGGTTGCTGTGTAAGCGAAAACCTTTGCTCCCAGGATCCCACAGTTTCATTTTAGCCTGGTCACTAGCACATTTTATTGCTATGATCCAGCATTTGCGGCGTTCCGGATCTTGGGGATTTCAGCTCTTCCCTTATCTCGTCCATGTCTGGGGCAAAACAGGTATCTACCATATTTCCTGTTTTTAGCTTGGGTTTTCTGCAAATAGTAGCCTAACTGCGGACAACTGATTGCCAAGATGGCACCATTCGAACTGTTGCATGACAGAAGAAGCGACATCAACTCCCGTAGCTCTATGCAGTTTTTAAATTTAGGTGAATTTGGACTGCATGTTTTTTTATGGAAAATATATAAATTTCCAACTGTAGGTGGGTGATGTACCAAATATTTATGTCCATACCGACATCATAACCCAACCCTATTGTCCACGTTAGGCAACCTGATTTTAAAATTTGGCATCAGCTACAGAAAACCCTACATGTTTGTTTATAAATACCACTGACCTTAAAATCTAACTATGTAAGTGCCTCTGAACTTACTCCCACTGTTCAAAAGTAAAAGACCAAAATAGCCAGCTCACAGGCACCAACATGCTGTGCTTTTCTGGACCCTGACTCTGCAAAGCAGAGACACATATGGAGCCTAAGTCACGCCCATCTACTTCCGGATCATGGGTCCCCGGAAGAACGGACAAATTAATGCAAGTCAATGGGGCTAAAAACACTATTTTCTAATCCTGCTTGTTATGTGCCATGGATTTCACATTATGATGTCCTTGAATTTTAAAGAAGCATTTTGACACCAAGAAAGCACTTATTTTCGAACGGGGAGCACCGCTTCAAATAGTGACCAAAACAAAGCAGCATGGAGACACTCCATCTCCAACCACCTCTCAGGCAGGTGGGCTGGGGTGCGGCCGGATGATGGCTGCCCCTCTCCAATTGCGCACTGCACGTTTGTGGAGAACGTGGTGCTAAATGACTTGCAGACGACCTGATTCTGGGTCAGGGTTTCATGCGTGGCAGAGCAGCTTCCTCGCTGCGATCCATTGAAAGTCAGCCCTCGATCCAAGTTTTTGTCGGGGTCCTAAGTTATAGTCTATGGAGTGTTTCAAACCAGCCGCGACGCGGCAATTTTCAAGCATGTCCGAAAAGTGGCATGCCGCGCCGCTAGAGATAGGATCGAGTTCTATTTTTTCCATGAGCCGCTTCTGGGACATGTCAATTTCCGCAGTTCTCGTAGTGCGAGACAGGAAACCACACACGGTTTCAGTTTAAAATCCCCGGTTATTTTTAAAATAAAATGCAAAGTTGCAATGTTATATATAACTTACGTCAGCACGTGTGACCGAACGGCTTTGTTTACCACCAGTTTCTTTCGAGAAGTGCAACGGTGTGATTTCTCGCAGGGATTGTGATCTCTTGATGAGGAAGGATGGCGGAAATCTCGAGGGAATTCGTTGTCTCGCGAGGAAGGTGTAGGAAGTCTCGAGGGATTTTAAAATCTCGCGGGTACAGCGAGGAAGCCGTGCCGCGGTCAAGACTCTCCTGGTGTGAAAAGGACCGCTTTGAAGTTCGAGAGTGAGCCACTCCGCTGCTGTTCCGTTCCGCCGATGCTTGCAGTGTGAAACCGGGGTTATTTCAGGTTTTGTGTGAAAATAAGTCCAGGAAAAGAAATGCGCGTCACGAAAGTGACGTCATCGAACCAGACACAGAGAAAAACAGAGGACAAATGGCTCTAAGTTCAGCAAACTCAAAATCCTTCCTCCAGGAGGAATTTTTTTTTACCATAAATCTGGCCATGAGGTAAGTAGCAGCTACGCTAGGGGAGATGAGATTCTGTGCCGATGTCTGATTTGTAGTAGTCACGCCAATTACGAACTTTTACAAGCTGATAAATCTCAAAGAACGTGACTGGTATGGTCAAAACACACATTTTTATTTAATTAGAAGTACAACATATGTGCGATCTTTTAACCCCATTGATTTGTTTATTAATTTTAATGGACATAAAAGCTAGACTAATGCATCCACCCACTAGGGGGTGCATCAATACTTAAATAAGGATGATCAAAGGGCTCAATTCAATTTACCCCCACCCCAAAATAGGAATGCTTTGCTTTATCGCGGAAATAAAAAACATCCAAAGACAAAATTGAATTTAAAAACTAATCACGAATATTGATTTATGCCCATAAAACGTGTTCAATATTTTAAAAGTGTGTAACTAATTCAACATGTGTAAAATTTCTGCAAACTTGCAATATAAAAAAACCGTTAAAATGTGGGATAACTACAAGGGTATTGTGACCTTTAAAAACCATCTGAGTTTTGAAAATCCTCACATTTATTGCTTTAGCATTAAAATTGCACTACTAACTCTCCCAAATCATCACCGTAAATAAAACTATTCTAAAGATGACAACATGTATTGAAAATCTAAAAAATTTGCGAAAAAAGTCAAATTGATGTGTCTGATATGAAGACGCGATAATTAGCAGCTCGTCAGCAATTAATTTTCTAAATGACGCGCCGATATGATTTCCGTTTCACTGCAAACTCACATTTTGACCAAACATTTGACAACTGTTGCTCTTTACGCCAACGTGACGCAAGCAAAAAGTCTGGAAACTGAAATAACCAACCCCTCGTCAAAGTTTTTAGTAAAACAAACCAACATTTTCCTAAATTAACACTGAATTTACTCACAGATGAGCCGTTGAGAAGCTATAGTGGGTGTAGTCCGCATAACGGGACGAGCGGAGCTGAGTTGCCTCACTTCTAGCGCGTGAAGTTGTAACGCCCTGAAAAGTCTTGCTTGACACCGTTTACCATCAAAATGAGTAAAACTCTCGGACTATGACACACCAGGCAACCTAAATACAGGTTAGCGTGCGTTTAGGCGCAACTAACAGACGCAACTCGAGAGGTGAAGCGCTCAAACACGAGGACATCCGCTATGGCATCAAAACTTGAAGAGGAGCTCATCTTTTTAGGAGGAAAAAGACTCACCGTGGGTCGGCGCGTGCCTTCAGATTGACAGAAGCTGCTGAAACGTTGAAACGAGTCAGAATCAAAAACTAATTTTATCCTTCGCTCCTCGTCTCTTACAGCGTTTTCCGTAGCAAATGCACACGGACATGAGAATATCGTTTAAGTCTAAACAACCATAAGGCGATTTGGGGAGCCAACGTGGAGCTAGACGCATTCAAATACCACTTCCGGTTTATATTTACAAAATAAAACTCATTCAAACGAGCGCAAACCAGCACACCTGTAGTCACATTCAATAATAATAATAATAATACATTCTATTTAAAAGCGCCTTTCAGAACACCCAAGGTCACTTGACAGAAAATACTTAATAAAATACAATAAAACAATAATAGAACCCAAACAAGAAAAAACAAAGAGAGAAACAGTTCAATAAAATCAGAGGTTTCAAAATGAAGCGGCTTCTTGTTTCATATGAATTGTTCAACTGAAGTGTCTAAATAGTATCATCAAAGCTGACAAGAAACGTAAGTAGCCAAAAGCTGATTATTGATGACAATCAGTTACATTTTATTTTGAAGTCAAATCTGAAACATCCGGCCGTGCTTTTTATTTTAATAACTGACTTTACACACGTAACTGAAGAGATGTTCAATATGGCTGTCAGTAGCTAAGAAGATACACACATGAGGAGCTTTCCTAGATATAAAATATGAAAGTAGGTCTTAGGTAGTAGTAGACTGTATGTAAGCTGATCACAAGTGATTGCACTTTAACCTAGTAAAGAATTACCATTATATGTTATTTATGTCTTAGTAAACCTGACTTGCAGTGATCACTCAACTTTAGACTTCTTGTGCATTAGTGTGTCATATTGTGCTCATTTCATGGTATCTTATCTGTACAATGTTTTTCTACTTCTGTAAATTGGACTAAGAGTCTGGAATAAAGAATACTTGACTTGACTTTGAAAGCGTTTACATCTGCACACCTGTTTTCTCCAGTTTTGTCCATTCCAGCAACAACTTGAGATCAAGTTATTACATCTCAAGAGTAAAACTATGCAGGCTCTCTCTCTCTCTCTCTCTCCTCTCTCTCTCTCTCTCTCTCTCTCTCTCACACACACACACACACACACACACACACACACACACACACACACACACACACACACACACACACACACACACACACACACACACACACACACACACAGTCACTTGTATTTATATGCTTGTGTGGACGTCCATTGGCTTTCATTCATTTTTGTGAGTCCTGCCGAACCCATACCCTCTCACACACACACACACACACACACACACACACACACACACACACACACACACACACACACACACACACACACACACACAGTCACTTGTATTTATATGCTTGTGTGGACGTCCATTGGCTTTCATTCATTTTTGTGAGTCCTGCCGAACCCATACCCTCACACACACACACACACACACACACACACACACACACACACACACACACACACACACACACACACACACACACACACACACACACAAGGCTATACTTACTGGTACAGGATACTCATTTTTAAAATAGACAAGTGAAGAACAAAAACAGAAGTAATAAAAATACACACCGCAGCAGATAGACTGCATGCTATGTCTTAAGAAGTAAAACTAAACAAGAAAAATATAGATAAAATCAGTTTTCACCACGAAATTGACCTTTACTGGCCGCGTGTTGCAGGAAAACAGTTTTCTAGGCTGACACGTTTAGCTTACATCCTGTTTGCGCCCTCTAGTGGCAGTTTGTAATACTGCACCACCAACTGGCTAATTCACGGGAAAAAACCAACACATTTTTGGTCACTGTTAAATAGGAAAGAATGAAATTAATAGGTAATTAAAAAAACCTGCTAAATGTGAATAGTTAAAATAAATTTATGAAATGCTTTTGAAAAACGCAGAGTTTTCTTTGTATTTCTGCTTGTTCACATGAAAACAGCACGTAGTTTCTCTCTAAGCATTTGTGGGTCTTTCCTAATTATATAACACATCTAAGAGGGATGTTAAATGTGCAATAAAATGAAGAAAACACCCGACAAAATGGGGAAGAATAATCTGAAAGTTTGCTAATTAGTGGGTGGGCGGAGCTTCATTCCTTGATGATCGTGCAGGTAAAAGGTAAGGAACTTAATGTACACTTCTGAGATATAAAAGTTTATTTCTTTCGACGTACAGAGGAGTCAAATCCAGAAGTTTAAGACTCAATCATGTCATTTGTGTTTTGAACACGCAGAGGCAGCAGCGCATCTCCACTGGTTACCGTTTGCATTGTTAGCACGCCAAACTCCATTGCAGTTACGCAAGATAAATAAATAAACTTCACTTAAAATACCAATGCGTGGTCATTAGAGTTCAGTTATTAATCACTGGCGTTCTTATCACTCAGATAGACAATTCGGCATTAAATATGTAGTAAAATATACACACTGTTGTGCAGTATAAAACTAAATAGTGGGCAGAAAGTTGAATGCATCTCTTTACATGCAGGTGAGGAACAGGCTGAGCAGCTGCAAAGCCAATGCCAGAAAAGTATTATTGTGAGGAACAAACTGGGGCTGAAAGTCCGCGTGGTGTGTGTGTTTGTGTGTGTGTGTGTGTGTGTGTGTGTGTGTGTGTGTGGGGGGGGGGGGGGGGGGGGTGCTTTTGAAACCTGAAATCTGCTGATTCCTCTGTTTTCATGTCCTCTGGACATCCCCTAGAGCTCATTTTAAAACTTGGCTGCTGGAAGTGTCACATTGTAGTACAGTACACACTGAGCTCGCCTTGGTCTTTATTTAGATGGGCATAAACACCACGTCACAAGATCTTCGCCCTTATGACCAAAAAGCACGCTGCTGTATTGTGGACTCAATGAAAGGAGGCTCTGTCAGTTTAATTCGATGGGGAATTGGACTAATTTGTGTTTGTGCACTGATTTGATTGTTCTTCCAGAAGTCATCAGGTGTATGTGTGTGTGTGAGGTGTATTCAAAGCATACATTAAAAGTCTTCTGGATCATTTTTTGACTTCCTAATGATCCACTTTCATTAGAATTTCGAAAATCAAATGCATCAAATGAAAATTTTTAACATTTTCCAGAATTGCACAGATCAGTTGCCTGCTTAAAGGTATATTTAAGATGAAATGTTTCTATGGAGTTTTAACCCCAGTAAATTCAATTTTCTTATCTCGGTGACAAATAAACACCTGAGATGACCACACTTGTCAAGCACTAAGATAAACTGGGGCCCAGCCTAGTTAATGCACATATCTAATTAGTGCCAGTAATGATGTTAACTGTTATGTGTTATGCAATTTTAGAACTGCCTTCTTCTTCCTTCCTGCCCTCCCTCTCTACAGCAGAACAAATTAAGGAATCAGCCTGCTTCTCTTTTCCTTTCTTCTTGTTTCGTTCCACCTGAGTCCACAGCTGAAACATTTAAATTTAACCGAGCTCGCTCCGTAGAGATACATTCAGCTCTTCTCCTGTGCTAGAGGCTGTGACGCACATGTGAGGAGGGAAATCTGCTGAGAACGTTTGTGTCCAGAGGCAAAGATGGGACAAAACTCATCTGTGGGAGAAGATCTGGAAGTGGATGAGGCGGTGGAGGTGCTGTCAACGATCAGCGGTAAGGAGCTTCCTGTCCTGTCTGCTTGTGTTTGGAGCCAGCTCCAAAAGGCTTTAATTCTTTTGTTTATATCAATTTTATAATTTATAGATTTATTGGATTCAAAATGAATAGTAATAAAGTTAATTAAAGTATGTTGTATCATATCCGATGTGTTTTACCACGATCAGCTTAAATTAACAAGGGTGTGTGAGGAATAGCCCGGATTCCTTTTGTTGAGCGATCTAAATACGATTTTTAACTATATCAACTCAGTTTTAGCTGTTTTTATATGATTAGTTCTATTGTATTTTCTGGTAATAAAATATAAACTATTAAAATATTACAAATTACACCAAACGTTTTCTCTAAAAATCAAACGTACCTGTTATCAAATGAGCTAGTTCAAAACAAAAATTTAATTTAAGGCAGAAATCTGGAGCTTTTTCTCAGAGAGCACCATCTAGAGGTGGAAAAATGTATCACACCTTAAGCCCGTCTCTCTACTTCCATGTCGTGAAAGTGCACCTCTAGCCAGCCTGGAGCTAAAACACACTGTTTTACAATAATCTCACATTGAGCTGTGTATTCATACACCGCCTGGCCAAAAAAATAAAGCAATAAATAAAAACAGTCACCACATAAACAAATGGCTTTGAGCCTCCTTTTGGATAATTACTGCATGGGCAGTATTCTTTCAACAAGTTTGCCAACTGGTGCAGTGAGCTGCTTCTCATTTCTTAAACAACCATGTGGAAAGACACATCTGGTGGTCGTGGACAAGTTAATCTGTGTGAGAAGGGTCAGATCATTGGCATCAAGCAGAGAAAACATCTAAGGAGATGCAGAAATGACTAAAACTGGGTTCAGAACAGAACTGTCCAACATTTTATTAAAACTGGTCTGATGAGTTCAGATGGGCCCTGTTCCAGAGAGATGGTTCATCAGGGTAAGAAGAGAGGCAGATGAAGTGATGCACCCATCATGCCTAGTGCTTACTGTACAAGTTTGTGGGGGCAGTGTTATGATCTGGGCTTGCTGCAGTTGGTCAGGTCTAGGTTCAGCAACAGGATGTGCTCCAAGAATGAGGTCAGCTGACTACCTGAATATCCTGAATGACCAGGTTATTCCGTCTTCCCCGATGGCACGGCCAAGATGACAATACCAGGATTCATCAGGCTCAGACAGAGAAAGAGTGGTTCAGGGAGCATGAGACATCATTTTCACACATGGATTGGCCACTGAGTCCAGATCTTAACCACATTGAGAATCTTTGGGATGTGCTGGAGAAGGCTTTGTGCAGCGGTCAGACTCCACCATCATCAATGCAAGATCTTGG